TATTACAAAATATCGAAGAACCTAGTTCACACTCTTTTAAAACTAAGAGTAAATGATAATTTTCAAACAGGGTGTCCCTATCATTAGAGATGTGTCGGTCAGATCTGAACCGGCTCAGTGAACCGGGTCTTATAAGTGATCTACGTGAACCGGTTCACGAAAATTAAACGAACCGGCTCACGGGTCCGAAATTACAAAGCGGCCGCGCGCAAGCCGTTCTAAGCTCCGATTCACTGCTTCACCCACAGGTCTGTGGCTTCACCACTCGCAGCGAGTGACTCGCTATGCTGCTGCAGTTAGAGATGTGTCGGTCAGATCTGAACCGGCTCAGTGAACCGGGTCTTATAAGTGATCTACGTGAACCGGTTCACGAAAATTAAACGAACCGGCTCACGGGTCCGAAATTACAAAGCGGCCGCGCGCAAGCCGTTCTAAGCTCCGATTCACTGCTTCACCACTCGCAGCGAGTGACTCGCTATGCTGCTGCAGTGCATTGAACAGGCCGCGTATGGCGAGCCGCTCGAGCCGTGAGCGGCGGGTCGCGAGAGATCTGAAGCGGCTCCCTGGAGCTAAGAACGACTCGCGCTCGCAGTACGTTTTGTTTTCTGTGATCCAGATCTGACCAAAACATCTCGATTCTCTAGGCGCGGCTCGATCATGCAGCTCGCTAGTCCCTATGCCGGTCGCATCGTTCGGAACCGAACTTCTTGCGTTCTGTGGCGCGTTACTACGTTAGGCAAATTTATACTTTTGGTAATTTTTTACAAACCCACAGAAATATGAGATGATTTCCCTTATGACAATGTCGTTTAAAATATATTTTTAATATTAATTAATTTAAATTGTGTAAACTTACAACATTTATGTTTTAAATATAACTTTTCATGTAAAATATTAAAATAATAGAGTTTTTATTGTTTTATAAAATTTTAATAAAATAAATAGTATGGTATAACAAAACTTTAATAAAATACAATGTAATATTTAATAGCCTTTATAATATTATTAAAATAACAATTTGTATTGCCTTATAATTTAATAAAAGCTCTTAAGTATTAAAGTGATAAACATTTTTAACATAAACTTAAAGTTTATGTGCTCCGAATGATTTCATTAAGTGTTAATTTTAATTAGTCTGAGATTCAAACGGTTCTTTTGAACCGGTTCGTTGAACCGGTTCACTTATGTGATCCAGATCTAGTGATCCGGTTCAAAAGAGTGACCCGGAACGCCCATCACTACCTATCATTTAAAAAATATTTGTCAGGCAAAATATGCATCTTAAAAAAAATATTTGCTTCCCATAGAGATGTAAAAAACGGTTTTTTTCAGATGTGAAAAAAAACATGAAAAAAAAACGTTTTTTTTTGTTTTTTTTTTCCAAAATGAAATTTTGATTAAAATATATATTAATAAAGTGAAATGTATAAATTTTTCATTATTGAAAATTTTGACCTAGACTAAAAAATCTGATTTCTTATTATTTGGTAGTTCCACATTAGAAACCAGTAGCAATGTAAAACTTCTACACGAATACAAAAAATTAAAGGATAAAAAAAAATGTTTTGCGATTCTTCGGATAGCTGTATCTTTGTTAAAAATGGTCGTATTGGGGCCGTAAAAAAAGCAATTTGAAGCTTGAAGTTTCTAGTTTTGAGATTTTTAGATGAAAAATGTGCAACGCACAATCCTAACAAATACCGTAATAAAAAAAATCGATTTTGTTTGGCTTTCTGGTCTACGGAATGTTCTGACTTAACCACCAATGAATAAATGTTCTACAAGAATTTGCTATTGTTTTTTTGAAAAAAAAATTCCATACTCTACAAAAATTTGAAAAATCATGAAAAAAGTGCTTTTGGTAACTTTTTAAAAAATCAAGCGCTGAATCAAAAATATTATATGTAGTTACTTTTTTTAGGACCAAATCAAAACAAGCGCGGCCCTTATTGGTCAATTCGGTGGTGGTGGCGCGTGCATAGCGCGAGACTGTATTTACATTTACTAATTGTCATTTAGTGGCTAATTTTAGTCCATGAAACCTAAAAAATTAGGCAAATGGGACTAATCTTGAAAAAAAACCTAAAATGTGAAAAAAACCCTTTGAAAAAAAAACAATGAAAAAAATCTGAAAAAAAATCGGACCGTTTTTTTTTCAAGTCGCATCTCTAGCTTCCCATGCTGAAAATTTCTCCTCCGTTGTACAATACGAAATACAAAAATTTCACTGGGTATAGTCTGGCCACTGTACATTCCTTTGTTATGTGTTATAAAGATGAAAATAATGAATAATGTCAAACAAGTTGGTTACACTTTTCTTAAAGAACTTAATTTCTTAAAATTAAATTTTTCGCAAATAAAAAAATAATATATTTTACTCATGGATGTGGGGACAATATCAAAATTAATATAATTTTATTAATTTTGCATATCACAAAAATGGAGGTAGAGTGGCATTTTATGCCACATCACAGGGAAAAGGACCTTGTGATGGAATAGGGGGAACCGTTAAGAGATTAGTTTCAAAAGCAAGCCTGCAAAGACCATATAAGGATCAAATTTTTTTACGTTTAGATATGGTTTGCAATGAAAATATAAAAGGAATACATTTTTTTTATATAAAACCTAAAATAATAGAACAAAAATAAATCCTTGTACTAAAAAATACTAGAAGTTTTCATTCATGTGCCTAAAAATTTACATATTATTCAGCACATCGGAATCAAACCGTTTTATAAATAAAAAATATTAAAAAGAACAAAATTTGAAGCTTAAAAAACCAATAATTAATTATTATGTTAAATTTTATTAGGGTTACCTTATAGGCAATGTTATTAAATTTAAATTAACTATCTTAATAGATTAATAGATAAATTTAAGATTCCATGTAGAAAAACAATATAAATGTTACCTTTAACATAGTTTTGTATTATAAATAAAGTAACACGTGAATATATAAAGCATTGTTCACGATAAAAAACAAGTTCTCTGTTAAAATTATTGCTAAAATACACATAATTATTCACTTAGGCATAGTACAAAAATTGTTCTTGTGTTAAATTAAATAAGTGAATCTGATTGGTTGCAATCATTTAACAGTAATAAAAATAACAAAGGCGATCCATCATATGTAATCATTCTGTACCTTAAGATAACAATACAAATATTGTTTGTTTTATTTTATATTAATTATTATGTAAAGTCGCGGCGAATGTTTCAAATTGCGTCATCAATGTCGAATATCAAAAACCGATTTCTCGGCATACGGTTAACCTAGCGGTTCCTTGGATTATATACGTAAAAGAAAACAACAATAATTGTAATGTCTGTGCTTGGTTCAGAATTTGATGACGCAATTTAAAACATTCGCCGCGACAACTATATGCGTTATTTTGTTTATTATAATTATAAAATAATTATTTAATGTTTATGTAGCTTAATTTTTACTATTTTATATTTCTTTTTCAAACACCTTTAAATTGCATTTTTTTTATCAAAGCCATCTTGATAAAAAAGACCATGAAAATAATTCCATATTCTATACAATTTATGGTATTTTAAACCGTTGTAAGTTTTTAATTTATATTGAGGAGAACATTTTGTTAAATTTTGAAGAATTTTCTTTCAGTCCCTCTGGACGAAAAAATGCATTTTTTTCTCCAGAAATGGGAAATTTTCAAAATTATGATGGTATTTCCTGCAATTTGGTTACTTTTTTATAATTTCGCATTTTATATTTTAATCAATATTTATAATTACTTTAAATAAAAATATTCACCAAATAAAATTTTCATAGCCTACTATATAATATCAATGGCAGAAATTTGACATTTTCAGTTAAAGGAAGCATAAATTTAGCACTAAAAAAACTGCATTTGTAAAAACATTTGTATAATTTTAGGCATATATTTAAAAATCTCATTGTTTTATGGTTAAAACAAAATATTACGCGATACAAAATATTAATAAACAACTTAGTTATAAAGGGTTTTCTTAGACACCGATTTGGTAATTTTTTATGTAAACCGGTCAACATGGCCCTGCCTAATTCCTCAGGGTGTTTAAATAAAAAAAAATATTGTGGTTTTTGTTCAACCTTGGCCTTCACACCCTGAAAGTTTTAAGAAAATCCAATAAGGTCAGCTTTCATTTTTTGTCAAATTTGGTGACTCAGTATATTTGTAGCGCTTAGAGTGGTGTTATCGTTGGTTAATGTGTGCTGACATACGTCCCCCGCGCGACTATTTGTGATTTGTGATTTTTTGATATTTCCACCGGTTGAATTTAAGTTTTGATGAGTAAGCGACAAGACAACAAGAAAGTGTGTAAAATGTCAGAATTGGGCTTGCAATGAACACCTTAAAGAAATTTGCTTAAGTTGTATGGAAAAAGACGACGAATAAAACAAACTTCTCTTTTTTATAGTTTTGAAGTTTTGAGTTGTGTTCACACCACATTGTGGTGAACAAAGTGTTTTCATTTAATAAGTTGTTGTTCTAATATTAAACCCTATTTCTTCTTCACAATAAATATATTTGCACAGAAACAGTTTCATTAAAGTGGTTGACAATTGTCACCCACGCGTCCTTCCATGTTAGTAAAAGTCACGCGACTAACTTAGGGTTAGTTACAGTTTGTATATATTTGCAAAACACTGCACAAATTACAAATAGCATAACCCGCATTCTTTTCAACTACGCTGTTCATGTAGTTCACGTAGCCAGGCTGAGCCAAGGAACTGGGTCAGCTTGGCATCGTCGATAGCAGTTACGGGTTAAGACCAAAGATTTTATCACTATGAAATAGTGCACTTAATGGTATAACAAATTTTTCACTGTATGTCATATGTATATTTGTCAAAAGTCAAAGTATAACATGGATTCATATTTTAGATTACTAGTTTTTGGTTATAAGGTTGTTATAAACGCTTAGCAATTTATAGCACAATTTCAGTCATACAATGTAAACTACTGTTTCAAAACATTTATTATAATAAGCACCTTTTTCTATTAAATACACTTGTTAAGTGAAACTTTGCATGTCCGCCAGTTCTAACCCATTGGTCGATAAAAACTGCCATATCTTTTCCAGTTACCGTAAAAATTGCTTTTGTAAAAACGTTTGTGCTGATTAACATATGAATCCAAAGTCCATGTCCAATTTTGGATGAGGCTGCATTAGTTGCTAAAGATAATTGTTTGTTAAAAACTTGAAGCAAAAGTTCTTGTCCAATTCTATGTTCTAACATTCTCATTATTAATAATGCTTTTTTATGTAAAGCTTCTATGTAAATTGGAGACATGGTTTGTAAGTTTCGTATAGAAAAATAAAACTTTTCTTCACATTGTTTAACATTATTTTGAGGTGCATTTACACCAACTGGTAATGGTGCAGGGGGCTGACTCGGATCTAAAAGAAAACATTTCTCACCTTTTTATAACTTCCCTTCATTTAAATAAATGAATAAATAAATCGGTAAATCAACAATCAAAATTAACTGGCATTTAATAACGAATATATAAAGAAAGCTATAATTAAAGTTTGGGTTAGTAATAATCCAATTTACTGCTAGCAGTTATTCAATACGTATAATTTGGCATAAAAATTAAACACGGCTAGTATTGGAAAAGCTTTTATTCCGGAATAATTAAATAGAATGTTAAAGTTTTTTGTTTATTATTATTATTTATAATTAATTTTTAGAAAAATTAATAAATTATAAACTGTATGTTTCTTGGGATGAAAATAAAGTATTTATTTATTTATTTATTTATATGGAAGGATTTTTAATACAAAACTTAATGTAATATTGATGTGGTTATAAATATTAAATTAAATAACTTACTTACCTAAAATAATCCCTCCAAATTGTTCCTCATATTTAACTACATCCAATAAAATACTTTGAACAAATTGTCGGTAATAATTATTACCAAAACTTTTTTTACAGTATAGGCCACATAGATACTGACTTATACCTTTATTAAGCCAAACATCAGACCAATTCTGCATAGATATAAAACATCCAAAAAATTGTTCTGCAATTGCTTGTGCCATTGCTCTTCGCGTGATATAAACTTGATCAATAATTACCGCCGAATGTAATAAATTAACACTAAGGATACTCATTGTTGCATAGGATCTATGGTCTATGTCAGTTTCATCTACAAACACTTGCTTATAGCAAGAATATGGATATCTATTGGAAAGGGTTTCTTCATAAAACTCAAATGCTTCATGCATATATCTTGTTGTGACTTTAAGTAAAGGGAGTAAATTCGGCAAACAAAAATGCGTTACTTCATGCATATAAGGATCCACATAAATTTCAAAAGGCCCTACTGCCAAAGATATGTTAGGAGCACAAGTAGGAACGTTTAATGAATAGTGAAACGTTTTCCTTCGCATGTCTGGTGTATATACTACTTCTTGTAAGTCACCATTTGAAATTGCAGTTAATTCGTCATCCACAGTAAATTCCAACTTCCACGTGCATGTCTCAGCAAAGCTATCCACACATGGAAACCATAAACGTGAAGAATTTTGATATCCATAGGTATATAAGTGAGCTCCACGCTAAAATTTAATGTGATAATTAAGTATAGTAGTAGTACTAGTAGTGTATAGTATAGTATTATTTTAAAACATAAGTGTCGTGGAATAGTCATCCCTTTGAGGGATAATAGTTTACGCCAAAGTAAACAAGTTTTTCATTAACAATTTTGCATTAGTGCTACTGTTTTTGAATTAAAAAATCATGATAATTAACATAATTTTTTATGAATTTGATGGGCTGCCACTGGTTAGCAACAGCTGTCGACGATCGAAGTATAGTCGGCCCGTTAAAATCATCGACCACAGTTAAACAACTGGCCGACTCTACTTAGTCCGTCGACCCTGTACACGTTAGGTCAGAGTTTAAACGAATACAGTGACAAACAAATGCCTAAACATTATGTTAATTGTCATGATTTTTTTTATTTAAAAAAATTGCATTAATGCAAAAGTGAGGAAAAACTTGCTTACTGGTGTGAACTATCATCACCCTAAGGAACGACAATTACATGTCATTTCACCCAATTTTGAAAATAATGAAGATTTGAGCTCTTAATATTAAGTATTTTTGTAGTAATACGCATTGTGACAAAAAAATTGTAAATTTTTTTAATAATAAAAAATTCTAAAAATCATTACTACGAAACTACTTAATATTACGAGCTTAAATTTTTAATAAGATATTACTTTAATGTAGAGAATAACTAAAAATCCAGGAGGTCATAATCCCCAAAAATGTGTATTTAATTTAATGGCCCATATATAAAAATATGATGTTTGGGCCAAAAGATGCAAATAAATCAATCATGTACTTTTATGTAGCTTTTAATTTGAGGAAAAACATATCTGATTTGTGACCACGATGTATTATAATTTATAATTATACCTCAGCATAAGTCCCTGCTTCAGTTTCAGGTACCACAAAATGTAGACCACCTTGAGGTTGTTCCAAAGAAAATTCTATCCCCACTGTTAACTTGGTTCCATCTGATATGACATGTGCTGCTTCTGGAGGAATAGTTAAAATTAACTCTCCAGCGTTATTGTCTGGATCTGTTTTAAGAGCTGCATTTAAATGATGTTCCGAAAATTTGTCCAAGTTTCTTCTAAAAAAGATGGTGCATTTATAATTTTAATATTATAATAAAAATAATATAAAAAAGTTCCTATACACACTAACATTAGGGTGGTCCACTTTTACTCACCTATTTTTTTAAACTCTAAAGTGGAATTATGTGTTTTTACTAGAAAAGTCGCAATTAATTTTTCAGATTCTAAAAAATGTCGCTTAACTATTTTTTATCAGGAAAAGGCTCTGTTCACAGTTAAAGCCCGATATTTTTAAAGTTAAGTGGGAAAAAATGACGTACAACCCCCATTTTAAATATACAATTTTATATAATACAGGGTGACCAATGGTATACCACGTTGTAATTTTAGGTACCTTTAAAAAATCCTTTTTTTTTTGGTTTTTCGATTACAAGGGTTTAAAATTGAAGTTTATTTTATTTATTTAAATTTTTAAGAATACGTAAATAAATAAAAGTATTAAACTTAATTTTCTAATACACTTTAAAAAATAATATGTTATGTAAAATGTATACAAATGTATTTTGCTTCCTTAACAACCGTTTTTACATGTTTCTTAAATCGGCTTATAAAATACCCAGCGTAGCCAAGTCTTTTAAATTTAAGTACTTAATAGTCGTTTTTTCGCGTAAATACTATGTAATACTACGGTTAAATAAGTCATGAGGTCACAGTTAATTCATATAACCATGGTTAGGTTTCTAACATTTGACATTTGTTTACTTGTTCATAACCTATAATTTTTGAAATGTGTTTTTACCTATTTATATTTAATTTCTATGCTTTTACCGGTGTAAATAAATTTCTTTGCCTCTTATACCTAGTATGTTCTTTTTCTATAGGTACTAGTTTTTTCAATACACGTTATCCAATTCTCCTACATGTTTAATACAAAATAAGGAAGAATATAAAACAAACCTGCATATAATTCCTCCACTTGTGGAGATTCCACAATATGGAGCACCCTATCATTTATTTTTACTGACAACACCCCGTTTACCATTTTAATACAGTTTAAATTCGGTTTAAGAGCAATTGTACCCACTTAAAATATTTTAAATTTCAAATGTAAACAACTTTTTGACAGATCGAAACAGGGAAAAATATATATTTAAAAGGAGAAAGACTATTAACCACGTTGAATAACTAGCTCAGCGATATAGTTTTATGGTCTGGTATTTGTGACGTCATAGTTAGGATTTTTGAACGCACTCTAAACGCAAAAATGCCTTAACTATTAACCAAGGTTAAGTTTAATAACCATAGTATTTTATGGTATTTACGCGAAAAAACGACTAATGACTTCAAAACTACATGTCAAAATTTTCTTTTAATTTTTTTATACTTAAAATAATCCCCTGCATTTTTCAAACAACCTATATATTTAGTATTAAGTAATAAGTGTATTTTCTAAGCCGATGTAAGAAACATTTAAAAGTTGTTGTTATGGTAACAAAATATACAACGCATTTACAGCGACTTAAAGTAAACATGTTTAATAGAAGATTTTTTGAAAGTTCCTGTCAAAAAATAAAAAAAAATTTAATTAAAAATATAATATAATTTAATATATTTTATATATTATAGCAACTTAAAATGACAATTTTAAAAAGATCTGTAAAAATGTTTTTTTTTAGATTTTCATAAAAGGATAGGTATACTGTAATGATCAATGCTTAAGCCATTAATATGATTCTCTTTGGTTGCTTGAGTTTAAAACGATTTTTTAAAACAATCTATGGAAAATAACACTTATGCAGAAGTGTTATTTCTCACACATTTCCCCAAGATTATTTAAAAAATTCGTTTCCAACCTCGGGAAACAAAATAGGATCAGGTTGATTGCTTAAAAATTAATTATTTAGTTTATTTTTTATGCAAAATAAAAAATGGCGTGTTAAAACAAATGTAACTTTAAAAATTATAATCTTGGAACCTGTGCTGTAAAAATATCTTAAATTATTTGTGAATGTATCAGATGCCTCACAAAATCATAAATTAAATTTTGAAGACATTCTAAGAAAACTCTTCAAACTACCTTAATTTTGTTAAAAGCTGCTTTTTTTTTTAAATATTTTAACCACATGTTTAACAATCAACGCATCTCCAAAGAAATTGAATAAAAATTGTATACGCTTAAAAAAGTGTGGGTTAATACTTTTGGGTTACAACCTAACTTAATGGAGCAAAACCGACTACAGATTCGAATTTAGCGCACCAAATTACTTAGGAAACAGAATTTGATTGATCTGCTAAATGAAGCAATTTAAATGTAATTGTTTTAATTGGTTAGTCTGGCGAGAAAAAAGTATGAGGCCGTTTTCATGTAGAGTTAACCAGGCTAATCAGAAAAAATATCCCTATAAAACATATTAGTGTGGTACTTCTTTTTTATGGAAAAATATCAGAGAACATGTGTGCAGAGACGCCACTGGTAAAGCAAAATAACAACTTTTTTAACTAAAATATGAACTTTTAAATCCTACCAAACACACTAAAAGTGCTTTTGGATATGTTAAAAAATAACACTTTAAAAATTACTTTTTTAAAACCCTGTAGCAAAAAAATAAGCCCGTTAGGAACCATGTACCCAGGACAGGCAATCCGCGGATTGACGGCTGTGGTGGGAATTTCGCAGATCGCCTAGCGTACTTTAGTAAATCCGCTTAGGCAATATATATGTACCAAAAGTAAAAGTAAAAACGTAATCCTTAAAATCGATTTATAAAGTTAGTAAAAAAGGAATATTTTGTGCCGACTTTAAAGCTACTTAAATAAAGCAACTATCTAGTTAATCAGACTAAATTTGTGGTTTTGCACGTATTTTCTTTTTATAAAATATAGGTATACTTACTTATCAAAATCATTTTGACAAACATTAAGAAATGGATCAAAATACTGAAAATGTGCTTCGTAAGTGTCATTAAGTAAAACTCTGTATATTCGACATTGTTTGGCGTTTAATTTGATGATTCTCAAATTATCCCTCAGAGGTACTATTGTCAATTCCACAAATCCCTGTAAAAAATAGGCAATTAAAAAATTATACAATATTAGACTTAAGACTTTATAAAACTTGTTATGGTTTAATAAAGATTGTTGTAAATAATAACTTAAATAACATACAGGTATACAGGTATATGGGTATAGCCTTATAAGGCTTCTTGAAGTGGACTTTGACTTAAAGAGTCAGAATTTTATAATAATTAACAATGTCCCTGTACTTTACAAACAATGTAATAAAAATAAAAATTACTTGTTTATCTTTGTAAATTCCATTTCAGGAAGCCTTATCTTGATAATAATCATAAAGAAACAAACACAAAAGAGTGCCCGATTGTCTGTTAGAAGTGGGGAACATAGTTACGGTAGCGACTAGTGGCTACCAGCTTGAAGCAGATTAAAATATCTTAAATTAATGTTTTGTTTTCCCTCGTAACAATGTGACATAACCTTACTTTTTACTTGTTGTTTGCAGAGTCTCTGGTTGAGGTTTAGTTGCTGTTATCGAAAAACAAGATTGCTTGTTGTGTTTGGCTGCCGTGCTTGGTATTTATTGCATTTAATGCTGCTAATTGAAATACATTTCCACGTGCAAATTACCTAATTAGTTTACTTGAAGTGTTTAATTGTATGACATGTTGCATTTAAAAACTGCATGGGATACTTTAGAGGTAATATCTGTTGAATTTCTTAAAAAATAATTTCTTTAGAAATAAAGTTGTTTAAGAAACGACACTAGGAGTGCGTTCGAAATGGGAGTGTACTTTGGATATGGTATAAGGATAGGTATATTATCACGTGACTTTACATTATACCTAACCTCCTTGTTATTTTCGAACGCCGCGGAGCATATACCTATAAACTTTATGTGTTCTAAAATCAATTGGTTTTGCTTGTTATTTGACTGAATACATATAAATATTAAATTATTGAATTTCAACTTTATTTATATGGATTAATCAAGTTTTTGTGATGGATTTTGTTTTGTTTTCTAGAATTTAAATGTTTTAAATAATTTATTATAATAAATTCTTTTATCATAAAGTTTTTCGTTTTTGTTTTATTGAATTTTAAACAGTTATAAATAAATTATATGAAGGTAAATACAAATTATTGTTTGATGTACTCTATGCGCATGACGGGTAAAACTTAACCAAGTCTAAAGCTTGGACAACCGAGAGTGCACTCTGGGCATATACTTGCTGTTTTCGAACAGCTGACAGTTGCATATATCTAGGTATATACCAGAGAATTCGAACGCGCACAACCAATAGAGCTGGTGCCGTTCCTAAAACAATTTTATTCGTTAAGTAATTATTTTGTAAAGAATTTAACAGATATACCTCTTTTAAGGGCCAGTTTATCAATGCCCAGTTTAAGTTGCAGTTAGTTATCTAGTAGATAATTTCCCTGGATACCACAAGTAGTAGTAATTTATTCTCACAGTTCGGTTTTTTATATGATTCAAAATAAAAAATATATAAATCACAAAATTATAATTTTACTATAGTAATTTATTAATGGTCACAATGCCTTCTTTTAAAATCATCGAACAACTAAATCATTTCCATAGATCCAGTGATGTACCGTGACTTTGAATTTTGAGACCAAAAGTTGACACAATAATTTGTAAAAAAAATCATATTAAAGCTTGTGGAGATCTGCAAATACCCCCCCTAATAAACAATCCGTGGGATATTACGATCCTAATTATTTAAAATAAATGTATTCAAAAAGCAATGTAAATGAAACTAACATTTAAATTTAGCGCAACGGAAATGCGAATGACGTACGAAGTAGCGTGCCATTGGTTAGAAAGAATCTCGTGTTTAGGTGGGAAAAGGTAGGGGGAAGAATGCGGGTAGTAAAACGGGCAGGGTACGAACGGGGAGCATTGGAGCAGAGCCGAGCAGCGACAAGGGTTTTAAAAATTGTGTGTGCAGAAAAGTGTTGGAATTTGTAGGTTTGTACATTTAAATAACTAAATTATTGTAGTATAAATATTGCCGAGCATTTTGGTATAATTAGTTTACAGAAACACCTTGTGTAAAGATAAATATTCGATCAATTGACTTGGCGTCATCGTTCGATCTATTCAGCCGTAATGGCTGCCGTCTTAAAACAAACCACGCTGTAAAATTTACGTTTAAAACTAGGTATTTCGTATTATAATTTATATTCTAAGTTATAAACAATTGGTACGTGTATTTTATCTAATAAAAGGCAGGGATTTTTAACGAGTAATTATCAAATTAAAAGAGCAGGAATTTACGGGGATTTTATCCAATTAAAATAGGCAGGACCGTATTCGATTTAATTAAGCTAAATGACAGGACGGTACTTAGGATTATTTAATTAATTTTAAATAAATATTTCAAAAAGGGGGTTTACCATAAACGCTTTGTAAATTAAGTGTATTTAATATCGATTTTCTTGAATACGGGATTTATAAAATTGTACTCGCAGATTCTCATTTATGTCCCGTAATTAGTAATTTTACCAGTCATATTAAATTATTTGGTATTACATTTGGAGTGAGTAGCAACAATGATTGTGCGATAACGACATTTGATTTATCCCCACTGTCCGTGGAGTCCATGACACAACAAGCCCATTTTGAATTACTATCCTGTAAATTTTATTAGGTGCCGAGCGGTTTGATTTCATCTGACTGCGCGACGTAGACTTTGTCTTTGTTATTTGTGTCATTTTGATTACCTAGTATTTTATGGTAATTATTAATTTATTAAAGTTTGCCTACTAATGAGGCAAAATAGACAATTCCGAACCCTCAGCTGAAGCCCGAGTCGAGCCTGATAATTTATTTACTCCTTTTCTAACAGTTGATTGAGCCTGAACTCTAATAAATATTACATGAAAATTTGTGTAACAGTAAACTTAAATTCAACAGTAAATAATTATTAAAAACTTTATTTGGATGATGGAGGCCTATTGCAGACGGAATGCTTGATGAATAAAGTTAAATTGAAAATACAAAAATAGAGACTAAGACTCAATCTACTTTCACCAAACAAAAACACAAATAAGCAAACAAACAAACCAGCAAATAAGCGAAGAAACAAATTAAAAATTAAAAATGAAAACGAGGAAGCTCTTGTATGATGTATTATTTATCTAATGGTATTTATATATTTATTTATATTTGGGTTGAGTCGCAGTAAGGAGATATTGTGTGGTTTTAACGGTTGTAGGAGGTCCTTTTCTTTCAGAGTTCACTAAATTAAATGTCGTTTGGGTTGCGGTTATTTTTGTTGCTCTATCCAAATAAATATCATTATTGTTTGTAATAAATTGTAAATATTTTATACGTGAAACTCACTCCCATAATCCCTCATTTTGGAAGGTTTTATGAGAGATATTAAATAAAAAAAAAATAAACGGGAGCCTTCCGGGTTTTTGACCTGAGTTCAAACGTAACTTATTGCCTTTTATTTATTGTATTTTTATTTCCCTTTTAAATACTTTCCCCATGAATACAACACCTCACAAGTACCTTGGGTTACTAAATAAATGAGCTTTATTACCGTAAGTATTTATTTTATTTATTTGTCGTAATTTAATATAACATTTGCCGTGGTGTTATATTTCATTTATCACTTGGGGTGTAACTTTTACAGATTCTTTGCTGGGGGGGTGTGTACGCTTACAAGCTATATGTTTCATTCTGCATAAAACGAATCAACTAATAAGTTAGAATAATTATATTTCTTCTTTAACTAAGTGGTTTTATTACTAAATTTAACTAAAGATAAGTACAAAACAAATCTTAAATATGTTGGCTGTTATAACAACAAATACATCGTAAAAGATTATTTTGGTAGCATGCTGAACGAGGATTCAAGTTAAACTTTTTAGAAAATAATTTAAAGTAAAAATGAACCTGCTGAGATGCTTGTTCCGAGTAAAATCCTAGAGCACTATGATTGTCTCTTATAAACTCTGGAACATGATGCAGAACTGCATGAATCTTTGGAGTTATCTTAATACCCAAGTTGAATATTTCCAGTTTAAATTGTTCGATGTCATGTTCAAAATTTCCTCCACGAAATTGTTTCCATAAATTTGTATTTTCTGTGATACTTTTTATAGTTCTGAATGATCCTTTCGTTTCCATTTACTTTACATTAACATCACACCATGGGCAAGGGTGGGTGGATGAGTTTGACCGAAGACAAGGAGCATCATAATAATCTTAAAATCAGCAGCAAAAAATTAGGAACAAATACCACATATGGATTGCAGATCTAAGGTCTCAAAAAGAATTTTTATGTTAGTATAAGATCAGTCAACTTTGGTCCTAAGCCAATTATAAATAGTTTATTAATTCCAGCACTTATATATTTCTTGAAATATTCGGGATAATTTTCAGGGAGCACATTAAGGCAAACTTTAAGTGATCCACCACAACTTTCAATGCCAATTTGAACATGAAAATCTTCAGATATTTCTCTAATTTCCAATATATGTGATAGAAGACCAGATAAATCTGAGCAGTAGGTATACAAATCAGGGCTCCCACAGCTAAATTACAAATTTTATTTAGGAATTTAGGAGGTTCTTTGTAAAATTTTAGGATAAATAAAGTATGGAAATGAATTTCTTTAATTAAATAAAAACAACTCTTTACTACTTAAAAAATAAGAACAAAATTAACACTTCTTTTGTAAAAATAAGTTATATTGACTAGTTTTTTAGAAAAATCGCTCGACGAGTTTTTTTTTAAATAAAATTAAAAGTGAGGTAAAATTAAAACTTGTATATATCTGAGGTACATATATATACAAGTATAAATTTCACCACACTTTTAATTTTATTTAAAAAAATGCGTCGATAGATTTGGCTAAAAAACTATACCAAAATCAAATGATGTTATATTTATATTTTAAGAACAAATATGTTAACCGTTTAGTTAATAGCAGTAATTGAATCGATAAGATTAAGAATAGTACGAGTCCAAAAGTAAAATTTTTGATAAAATATTTCATAAAATCAGT